TATTTAAATAATATCATGCATTTAATTAAATTTTTAATTAAAATGACCTGTGATCTTAAAATTGAAACATAGAGACAAAAGATCTGAAAATGTCAAGTCTCTTCAAGTTGTGTCTCTTCATTATTTAATGTTGCTAAATTTAATTTCAATGTCATGTGCCTCTTTGAACCATATGTATTTATCAAAAACTTTTTTTAGTTTTTTGTTTACTTTAAAAATTCATCAACAATGTTATTGAATTAAGTTCTTTCGAAATTGTTTATGAAAAATATTGCCCCCAATTTTTATCAGAATTGTAAAAAACTCCCAAGAATCGGTTATAAGGTGAATTCGATAAAGCTTTCCGAATTTTCAGCAAAGTAATTTTTTGTTGCTTAATTAATACGGCGCTGATGAGCGTGATTATCTCGAAGAAAAATGATCGAGTAATTAGTCCTCCGTCGCGCCTTGCATCTCATCCCGCTCCATGCAGATAGGGACCGAAGTTTCAACCAGGTGTTAATTGGAAATGTGTCGGAATGTGCACCTCAATTGTTACCAAGCAGACATTTTAATTTGAAAAGTTGGTCTGGTTGAAAATTAAAAATAAAAGTGGCGAGGCGTCCGTGTGAGAGAGCACGCTGGTCCGAGAGAGTAAAATATAATTTAATTTGGAATGAGGCTCGATTGAAACGTTCTTCTTCTCACCTTTTATGATTTATTTAGTAATACGTGTTTCTTTCTCCTTTTGGCTTTGAACGCGCCAGTTTCGTCGTTTTTTCTCTTTTTGAACGTTGGTAATTTGAATATAATTATACGTTTGAAAAGTGGTATCTCTATCTTTCGGTGCGCCCTACTATTACGCCACGATTTATGGACGACACTTCGGTAAACGTACACTCGCAAGATTTATTTATCTGACACGAAAATTCAATTAATTCCATTATGGAAGAACGCCGTGTAATTTGGGGCACAGCCAAATTAGACCGGCTGCAAATGCTGCAGACAATTTAGCATAATTTGCAATTGTTATGACTAAAAGAGACTCTACCTACATGTAATAACTTTCAATTTTTGACATTTATTTCACTTATCCAAAAAACAACTTTTATTCAATGTTAAAGTTTATAATAACTAAAAAAATGAATTCGAACTAAAATCGAAAAGAGTGTAAAATAATCGCTCTGAATCTGTAGCCCACTTGTAGAAAAATATTTACTAAAATACTTACGTATGATTATAACCATATATAGATTTTTTGTAGCACCGCAGAATTTCAACTGGCAAAACGTGAATATTTGCATGATATAACTTTGACTTAATGAGTTATACTATACCATATAACGGGTGTTTTTTTTAATTTGACGTCAAAGCTATCCATGAAAGTACGATTGTGAACGAACCATCCTGACATTTAGCAGCACGCCGAGCGTATTAAAAATTGTGGTCCGTTCACAACACATTCATAGCACCGCCAACTATGACGCCAAATTTAAATAAACACCCTTTACTATACTATCATATAGCACAATACTATAATATAGTCTAGTGCGTAGATGCTTCATTTTTACTTAATAATCAAAAAAAAGTTCTTATTCTTGATTCTTATTTCATTTTTAAACCCAAATTTCGCCAAGTTATCGCGATACATGGATCGAACTAAAAGTTTTCTGTTAGGTTCGTGTCTAAGGACACACTAAAAATTCAGTATTTTGCTCCTTTAACCACACAGATGTGGTTACAGGTTACAGAACTATACTTCTTCCTAATTATTTTTACTAATGCGCACACCAATATTATCTAAAATTCTTTTTTTAGTAAAGGCCACTGTCAAATTGTTACAATTTAGCATACAGCTTCCTTGTTTCCTCTTCTAATAGCATGTAGCAAAAAAACTTGGAAAATTATTTTTCCAACAGAAATCATTAGTCAAAGTGAAAAATTCAAACTCTCATAACTAATGCGAAATTTTTCTAAATTGATTTTTTAAACATTTTTTCCATGTTTCTGGTATCTTACCTTACATGGCATTTTTCTTTTTTCACTCTATATGTATTTATGAAAAAATACTGAGTTTTTTTGTTAGTATAGTTTTAATTAAGTATTAATTTAAATGTTGGATTACTACGTCAGTTATCCAGTTACGATTCACATTTACTTCATCATATTTTCATCAAACAGTTTTGTGATAATGCATAAGTCTGATGGTGCGTTCTTTATTTTCTGACGAATATTGTTTTTGCTTCGTTTTACAAAATATTAACAAGTTGTTTGCTGTGTAAAAGTTTCTTTTTTTTCTGATTTTATCTTGTCTTTATTGCTTCTCTAGTATTTGTATCGTACAATTTGTGAGATTTTTTAAATATATAGATTGCAACAAGTTTACATTCGGTTTTCGGTTTGAATTCAGGTTTTGTAAGACCAAAATTATATCTTTTTTTAAGCTAAGAAAATTGTATGGGCTTATTTTGTAAAACTTTTAGTTTATAATTAGGTATTTTTATTTAGTGTAGATTTTATATTTATAAATAATTTAAATTATCTTGATGGCAAAGCTAATTAAAGTGCTGTATAAAACACGAGCATCCTTAAAGATTCAGCACAAAAAAATTTAGGCTTAACTTTATAAATATCTCTGTTGCTTCTTTAAGACCTAATCATTTATCACTTTTGTAGCAAAAATTAACGAAAATTAATTGATTATGGGCAGTTTGTGAACAAGCGTTCGATATTCATTTCACGCAACAGTTGTGTTTTAATAAATATTTTAATAACATATATTATCGTCGTATTATATAAGTATGTAAATATGTAATTTTAAAAGTAATGATTACGCCCCCAGTTCAATTTAAACTGTGTTGTTCTAACTAAATTATAATAGGCAACACACGGTCCACTAGCCTTCGAACGATATACTGTGTGGTTATTTAGACATGCTATAACTTTAGCCGGTAATTTCGTTACTATATAATTTACTTCAACGATCATCACAGTTGGCATAGGTTAATAACTTAATAAAGCCATTATAAATATTCCATGCTGTGAAGTGAAGCTATAATATTGCGGCAACTGCTTTACCACAAATAGATCCACGCTTTAAACGAGAACAAAGGCTTGAGCGACTTTTAAATACCTCAAATGACAAAATACTATAATTATGAAAAAAATAAGTGGTTGAAAACGAATTACTGACTTTGTTGAGTCAAGTGCCCGCTAGAAACAATTTTTAATTCCTATATCCGGTTAAAAACAAATGGAAAACTAGCGGTGAATTCTTCTATTATTTCAAAAACCACAACATGTTTCAAATCTTACAATACTAGCAGGAATGTAGTTACATTCAATTTCAGCCGCAAATCTGCTCGTCTGATTTAGAAAAGGATCAGCGGGCAGCTATTGTAACCTTTAGATTAGATTTTCCTTTATAAAACTATTCATCGATTCTATTTGAGGAATTCGAGCGAATAAAAAACTGGTATAATCATTTCAAATCAACTTACATGAATTAAGCTATGTATTTACTGTTAATTGAACAAGTGACTGGAACTAAAATGTATGTCATTATTAAGAACATGAATTCAAAAGGAGAAAATTAAAAATTCCTCCACAATAACCGTGAAGAATAGCCGTCAGAAGGATAAGATACGTCTCTATTTCAAGGAAACGAGGAGCTCTTTTCAAAGAACCGAATCGTGGCGATTGGCTGCAAGAAATTTAATTTCAGGCAATTGATATCAGTTGCAAAAAATATAATTGAGTGATTAAAAGTTTGCCAATAATTTACATTCGGATTTTATTCACTAGTGAATAAAAAAGACAAAAAATCTGTCACGAAACACTATCACAAATAATGTTATCAGTGTTATTACTGATTCTTATATTTTCGTGAAACTTTTGTTTACCAACTATAAAAAACGATTTAGTTCAATATTGATTTTTAAAAAATATTCCACTTGCCATATAAGGTAAAGCAGAATGATAATAATACAGGGTTAGTCACAGGAGAGTTACTTCGAAAATGAATTAGTTTGCAACCAAAAATACCTTTAGCGTATGTAACTGGATATAATATTTTATTTAAATTAATTCTAATTAATAATCAATGTCAGCTGGATGAAAATGAGTGAAGTCGTCAAAATGACAAGTAATTGACTACTGTTTTAAGGACTCTAATTTCATGTTAGAGCATGTCCACTTTTTCGTTATTTGTGTAATAATACATTGTATTAACGAAAATTGGCTGTTACTTTTTAAATGTCAAAATGAAAAGATATGCAAAGAATTCAATTTTATAATTTTTAAAAATGTTGAGGCTAGACGCCTATGTGAATTGTATAATGGGTTGCTGCCTAAATTATTTCAGAAGTAACTCTCCTGTGACTGACTCTGTATATAATTTTTTGTTAATGCAATTAACGTGACTGCAAAATATGGACAAAAGAAGTCGCACAGAGCGTCACTCCATTTACGGTTTGGCTTTAATCGTGCGATGAAAATCTAAAATTGATAATAACATTTTATAATTAAATACACAGTTGAGTGAATTTGCTATCGATTCGTGTAGTTAATTATCTCTATAATAGGTTGTAATGACTTTATTATGTGGGCCATGTTGTGTAAAGTGCCGTGAAACAATAAACCAATAATTGGGTATGATGACGCTTCTTTCTAGTTTGGAGATTAAACCAACACTTGGAGATAAATATGGGGAAAAACAGATGGGTCGTTTGTATAGGATGTTGTTAGTATGTTATTATACACCATGATATAAATTACTAGGAAACATTGTGTCGTAACTGATTATTAGGAAAATTGTTTAGAAAATAAATAACCCGAACGGACTTTATATGTTACATACGTTGCTAATCGCTGCTATTATCGCCACAGTTTCTTCATCTACACCCACAATTATCGAATTTGGGATGCTATTGCAGATTAGGCTGATAATAAAATTACAACATTTCATCACATAGGTAATTCAAAAGAATAATTTTTTTTGAATAACATTCAATAAATTTGAGGCTAAAGGATTTATTAACTTTAATTCCGTAACATGGAGTGTTTATTGCATTTACTGTTTTTTGGGAACACCTCCTCCATTTGCCCCCAATCCCCCATTAGCACCAAATCCTCCACTCACTCCACCACCAAAGCCTCCTGCACCTCCTGGGGCTCCAGGGAATCCTTGAGTCGGCATCCCAGCTGGGGGTTGAGGGAACCCGCCTTGTTGACTTCCAGGACCACCTTGTGCACTAACCTATTTATATTTATTAAGTTTTAAACTATGAGTATTTAATAAGAAAAATTACCAAGGATGTGGCCACTAAGGCAAAAATGCAGATAAGTAAAGTTGACTTCATGTTGATTGACTGACTATTCGAGCTTCTGCTGTGCATTTATATGAGAAAAAGAGACATTAGTCAAGGATAATTTGAGCAATTTTTTACAAAAAATACTTTAATCTGTCATATGCGTGAAATTTGGTGTAATTAAAGCGCGATTAGTTCCGAGTGTATGTAAATAAAATGTTTGAAATATTATCAAATAAACACTTCCTTTTTATTGTGTGGTGTTATTTTGTTACTTGGAAATTGTCCTTGCATTACGTAAATGTAATTACAAAAATTGAAGATTCACATTCAACGTATTCAAATAATATTTATAGTAATTTGCTAAAAAAATATTATAATTAAGTTAAAAATGACTAACATGTAAAAACACAGCTATATAATTTTCCTTTTTTTTTTTCACTTCTTTTCACTCAAGAATACACTAGTTTTGTTGGTGTCTGAATGCGAATTTGAAACCCAATCTCATTTTTACTAAAAAGATTTCGAGATAATTGCAATTTTGAAATCCATTTGTTTGTATGGATCGTATCAGTCCTATCTATTTTTTTCTTATACCGGGTGTTATACAGGCTGACCGGAAAGTCGTGCACCTCTCTAACACTGTATATATTATCGGGCGATGCCCTAGACAACAAGAAAAATATTTAAAAAAATCTATCTATAAAAATTTCGAAGTTATGAGAGTTTAAATTTTTAACTTTGACTCTATTTAATTCTGTTGGAAAAAAAATAAATTTTTTTGCTACAGGCTATTAGAAGAGAAAACAAGGAAGCTGTATCCTAAATTGCAACTCTGCTTAGTGTTATTTGTGGCTTTTATTGACAAAATTTTTGTACCTTTACGAAATAATTATAAGAAAACATACACAAAATCATCAGTATCATTAAATAGCCATAAAAAATGTCAAATGTCAAAAAATAAATGGCAACATTTTTTAACAGATAGAATTTTTTAAACATTTTTTCAGTACTTTAATTACTCCCTTTCAAGGAGGTGCGCGACTTTCCGGACACCTGTAAAAAAATCTGTAAAAATTTTTTGACATTTGACATTTTTTGATGGCTATTAATAAATACTGATGATTTTTTATATGTTTTTTTTTAAATATTTAGTAAAGGTACAAAAATTTTATCAATAAAAGCCACAAATAACATTAAACAGAATTACAATTTAGGATACAGCTTTTTTGTTTCCTCTTCTAATAGCCTGTAGCAAAAAAACTTGGAAAATTATTTTTCCAACAGAAATAAATAGAATCAAAGTGTAAAATTTAATTTCTTACCCTATGAAAATGTAACACCGATAGAAACAAAAAGGTTTCAAATTTGGATTTTTCTTAGACCAATAGAGACCCCTTACTTTTGAATTCTCTTCTAAACTAAAAAGTATCTATAGAAACACTCCAAAAAGAGTTAAGAAAAGCTATCTTCATATTCATTGTCATTGCTCAAAACGAATCGAAAAACTTTAAAACTTTTGCATTCGCAAAAATAACCAGTACAATATATGTACACTCTCTAAAGGGAAGACTTTGGTGTAGGACAGTCGTGTAATTAGTCCAAGTCATTTTTGTACTCCTTCTAAGAAAAAGAGCCGTTTGTATGAAGCGGTTGGTAATGAAAATGCATTGAAATGTATCGTTGGAACTAATTCGATAATCATGGCACAAAATAAATCACACAAATATGTCCGGGAATATTTATTACACTAAATTATATCTTCATTCAAGAATAAATAAGTGTCAGAACAAATTAAATCGCCAACGAAATAGTGAGCAGTGAAAAACCTGTTCATCCTGGATGTTAAACATAAATTACACCGTCCATATTTTTAAAATAACATACGAAAAAATGAAAAAATCTCCACTATACAGCTATTAATATCCAGGTTAATATCGAACGTCGGCGGTTTACCCTCGTCACATTGTTAGCGCCCTGATAATTAATATCCCCGACTTTGATTCTTGGAATCTGTCAGTCCCCGCCTATATTCAATCGAGTCCATTATTAGCCGTTTATTAATTTCCCCGATTGAGAAAACGGCCGGTCCGGCTCTGGCGTGCCCCCCGTGGGCCCTACGGGGGGCATCACCTGCCCCCCGGATTATTTAATATATTCACATTCCGACGTTAATCATCCCAACACCTCTTTGTCGACGTACCGCTGCAATATCTGATGATGTCTCTATTAAACTATTTGTTGTCGTGTCTATGATAGTCAATTAATAGTGGTGATGTGTTGTTATGGGCTTCATTGTGGGATGGCCATTGTCGGGCCTTATTACTTGATTAAATTATTATTTTACAGAATGGGTTTATAATGAATATTATTGTGCCAATTCATTCCACGCTTTGAATTTTTCAATATAAATAGCTTCAATGTGTGATCGACGTGACAAAACGTCAAGGGTAAGAAGTGACAGCAAGGTTTTATTTCCGAGGGGTGATAAGTTGAAATAGGAAATGAACATCAATGCAAATGTGGAACAAAAATTTCCCTTTTATGCTTTACCCACAACAATTATTGTATTTTTTTCATTGTTCTGTTAATGTACTCGTATGTGCAAAGAAATTGGATATGTTGTACCTACATCTTTGACTTAACTGTAATAATACTAATAATGGTAAGTTTTAAAAGCTTAACGATAGAGGACACTAGACAACAGTGAAATGCTGACAGCAAGAGAATTGTTGTTATAGAAAATTAAAAGTTTTTGCAAATTTAAAAACATATCTAAACAAACTCTTGATCAACTAGGTAAATAATTTTTCCAAAAACTAACGTTCTTCGAAAAACAATAAAACATAAAGACATCAGTATATTCTCTGTCGCCGCTTTAATAACTCAGTATATGTATGGGTTGTTATTGAACAATTCTTGCAAATTAATGTTTTAATTTTCGAGCAAAACATTGTTAATATTTTTTTAAATGTGAATTGTACTATAGGTACGTAACATCTACAGTGTGTCCCCGGAAAGTCGAAACGAGTCTTGTAAAAGAAAAAAATTCTCGATTTAAATGTTCATTTTTTAGAGTTCAACCCTGCTTGGCTAAAAATTAATCTCTAATATAATTTTAGTTTTTAAAAACAACTATGCCATGGAAATTAAAAAAACTATTTTTCTGTGAAGTAAAGTGCCTTTTATATAGAAAATATGGGGTCTTTTTCAAAATTCGACGTCGAAGTTGGCTTTGCAAAATTGATTGTGAACGAACCCACCAACATTAAGATTACGAAGATGGTTAACTTTGTGCGTACTACTTAAATTGTAATTGTAAGATTATGTTGGTTTGTTTATGTGTTCATGGTGTGTTCATAACGAGCTTGTCACGACCAACTGCGTCGTCGAATTTTAAAAAAGACCCGTTACAGTAAAAAAAGTTATGAAAAAATGTTGTTTAGGATCAACATTTAGATCCCTATATACCAGATTTCAAAATCATCGACTTATTATACTTTTTTATTTTTTTAATTTTATTCGTAATAAAAAAACTTAAAAATAAATTCTCTGATTTGTAAAATAATAAACATAAACAATGAAAGAACAAAATTAGCCGATAATTTAGAAATTTTGGTATACGGGCCTAGATGTTGATTCTAAACAACTTTTTATCAAATTTTCCACACAAGAGACACTTTGCTCTACAATAAAATAGATTTTTTGACAATTGAAGACATACGTGCTTTTTCAAAACTAAAATTATGTTAGAAATTAGTTCTTAACCAAGCAGGGCTAAACCCCAAAAAAATAAAAATTTAAATCGAGATTTTTTTTTATCTTTTACAAGAATCGTTTCACCTATTCGGGGACAGACTGTATATAAAACCTTTCTATTTTTGTTAAAACACCCTATGTAAGGCTTAGGAAAATAAAAGTAATGAGGAATTGAAGTCAATCAGTAATAACCAAAGTCTTGCGTGGTTACTTATTTAATCAACGCAATAATGTAGTCACGATTTCAATCTAAAATTAATTTTGTCATAATTGTGAGCAATTCTATATTAATAATCGAGACAAACTAATACAAATTAGAAATTATTTGTTTCAAAAACATTTCTTTAAGTTTATTAGTGTTTATTTTTTATAATAAATGTGAGTAAAATAGAGACCATTAGAAGATATGAACTTTGACACATCTAGCATCATCTGTCTAGTAAATTCTGAAATGTTGCCAACTTAATTTGAAAGTCACAGGCCACATTGTTTGCAAATTTAATTGTACGCATGATACATGTCCGCCAAGACCCGATTACGCCAACACACATCTTTTATTAGCCGATCTGAACGCGATAAAAGCCCAAACCAAGTGATAATCCTCAATAAAACAAAATCGGTTATTGTGAGCCAGTGGATAATCCCCAAATCAAACCTCAAATCTCCAAATAACAACGGTGGCTGTTGTCGTGGTGGCAATAACAAGAATTCTCATTAATTTCCCGTCCCTCCAGACCATAGGGACTCTGCCCTTGGCCCATCTGGTCGTGCGTCAGCTCCATCCCTCGTTCGCGATGATTTTAAATTACAACCGCATCAACCAAACACGACTTGTCATTGCGATTTGGTCGGCAGCCTTTGAACTCGTTTAATTATTCACTTTTTTTGACTATTTTGTAGCACACGCACTGGATTACAGTTAAATCTGACGACCGAATCAAATAATTTCAGATAAGGTTGTTGTTTATCGAAAAGCAGGGGTTGCTGTTAAGGGAATATTCCGGCCGGGGATGATCTAACATACGGGCTCTTCGGTGACTTATGACTCCGTTGGGATTTATAACATTTATTACATATAACTAGAAGCTGTAATGTTATTTTGATATTGGAAAAATGAGAACTGAAAATTATGTCTTAGTTTCACAAAGTGATATCACCTGGGTTCAACTTCTGTTTATTTCAGCAATAACTGTTTTTACCCCTTTTTATACAAGGTGATTCACGAGGAATAATGAGCCAGACCAAATTCTCGATGCAACCACCATTACTCTTCGCAAGTTATTTTGCGACAACTGTAATGTTGGTTGCATCGAAAAT